CAAAATATATATTGTGTGTTTGAGTGGTCCAGACGCTACAATTCATTACTTTACTGAAAATTGAGATGTATTCACATTGGCTGCATTTGTCTAGTGTGTATTCATGCATAGCAATGGCATTTGACAAAAGAAATTACATTTTGCTTGTTTTACTAAAATTATATATAAAATCAATTAATTACTTGTCAGCATTTATCATTATTATTGTAAGTGTTGGGGTGGGCTAGCAATGCATTCTGGGGTAATCTTATTTTTTAAGTAGTAATTCTTACATTTTTTTGAGTATCATGAAATATCGGGTGGTGTGTACTTCCGAATGTCCAGCAATTCGTCTCTGGTGAAACTGATTGCAGGGATGTAACTAAAGACAGGACAAACTAACAAAAACATAAAAACAACTGCGGAGCACGCCACGGAGGCAGCCATCAGCGTCGGCGCCATCTTACTATAAGTTATAGTATAATATCAACAGTCTTCTCCAAAGGCGAGATCTTCAAGCAGCTGCCCGACGTTGTCTTTGTGCAGACATTGCAAACGCTGAGGGAAAACATAGGTAGGGTTGTGGAGTTACTGATGCTATGAGGTGTTAGTGCCCCTGTCCCTCTTATCTTCTTTATTACTGCAGAATTTATAATTACACACAAGCTCAGGGAAAGATGATTGCATCTTTAACAATGTACACTCATAATAGAAACATAATTATAATGGGTTTGCGTACATCATAGTATGAGAACATATACACAGAAAAAAAAGGCACCATTACTCTATCTTTGAATAATCATAATGTTCATACAATCATAATGCATCGAAAAATTGCATTTGTTGCTGTTGCTATTTATAAGCCTGAGGGATGAAACAAAGAGAGTTAAACTCAACAAGAAAAAGAGGAGAACAAAGATTTAAGACAGTTTTGCTTGTGGATGAAAAAAAATAAAAAGAAATCAACATATTCAAAAAACAACAATTTGGGGTTTTCATAGTAAAATAGGCCTATAATATCTTTAAGGATAAAACTGTGGGTCATATTAGTAGAGTAAAAATTAAAAAACATAAATCAACCCTAAATGCATTGGTTATACTACAGTCACAATAAAAGGGCAGCTGTTTCTTCAACAAGACCACAAAATGAGCAGATTTCATCAACATCAAAACATTTACAGACAGATTAATTAAATGAAAAGTTGTTTCGCTTGTTATTACGTTGTAGATCACATGATAACGTCAACATGGCGATGATGTCCGGATCGCATTTATATGTAATTTCACTTGATTCAATTCCTCCATCCTTGCGTCCTTCCCTCGCATCCTGAAGGGGTGGAGCTAAGACGCGAGGAAAGGAAGCGAGGATGCACAAATAAGAATTGAGAAGCACCCGGTGTCGCCATAGAAACGCACAATCCTCTCGTAATTAGGCTTCCTTAATTATTATGACATGGCGTGAACGCAGCGTTCAGCTCATCTTACCCCAATCAAACACACCTGAACAAGCTAATCAAGGTCTTCCAGATTACTAGAAAACTACAGACAGGTGAGTTTGATCAGGGTTGGAGTTGACCTGATCTCCTTGGATCTTTAAAACCCCATTTTACAGCGGTTTATGTTGCAGCAACACGGTTATTCGTTTTAACTTTGTGCGCTTCGCTGTCCGCTGCTCCTGTCGCACCAATTCAGCGCGTTTTCCAGCAGAGATCATTGTGAGATCATCGATCGGGAGGATGACAGCTCGAGTGTATTGCTCGTTGATTGCTGTTTTGTTGTGTCTGTCTGGATCCTTGAGCATTACAGATGCAGCTCCAGGAAAGACAACAGGTGAGAATATCTGTTAACTTAATTACACAGTCTGAAGAAATGCAGAAATAAGTGACTCGCAGTTTAGCAATGAGTAGTAGGTTTTAAAACTTTTGAAGCAGATAAATGTAAAATGTATATTAATGTTTGAGACACGTATTGCAAAACCCCGGTTTTCCAAATGCTGAAACTGCACTCCCTGGCCTCCCCTAATGATCCTCTTGAACGCTCTAGGGGTCCTAAAACAAAAACGCACAAAAAAAAAACCCAAGTAACACATTGAATTCAATATGTCTTAAATGGAGGCTGAAATGTTATTTAAAACTTTTGATTTAAGTGAATGAAGATGTTCTGCATTCAGTGATGCTTTCTGTCTTGTCTGAATAACAGCAAAGCCTGGAGTGTGTCCACCCCAATCATCTGGAATAAAATCGTGTACCACGTCCTGTAACAGTGACTCTAACTGTCCCAACAATGAGAAGTGCTGCAGCAATGGATGTGGACGTTACTGTACGGTTCCATATAAAGGTATTTGTTATATTGTTTTGGGTTGTTTAATAATAATAATAATAATAATAATAATAATAATAATAATAATAATAATAATAATAATAAAAAATAATAATAATAAAAAATAATTAAAAATTAAATTCATTTAGCCTTTGTTGTTCTAGTCAAAAGTAGTTTTGAATCAAGTGCGAACCTCCCGGTCTCTTGCTTGAAACCAATATGGAAGTGACTTAAAACTGCAGTTCAAAAGGGAGTCAGTCCCATAGACCTGCCGTGTTAAAATGCCCAACTTACAGCGCAGAATTTTTACAGCCTGGTACAAAAAGTGGTTTTGGTCTATGTAGGTAATTTTGCCCTTCATGACAACTGTGAGGGGGGTGACTTTGTTTAACTCATCCGTTTAAATGATCAGTGTTGGGGATAACGCATTACATGTAACGCAAGTTACGTAATCTGATAACTTTTTTTTTTTTTTTTTTCAAGCAACTAGTAAAGTAATGCATTTTTACTTTTTCAAATAAGTAACGCAAGTGAAACTTAGAAAAATGGCTTTGAAGACTGTTTATCCAGAAATTAATTATGGGTAGGACACTGGGGGGGAAAAAATTTAATGAAAATGATCTCAAACTTGAATTTTACCTTTTTATTTTGAAGTTATTGTAGGTACTCTGCCTTTGCACTGTCTGCAAAAAGTGATGTAACGCCAATGCAAAAGGCAGTAACGTTATATACAATATTTGGGTGCTGAATCACCATTTACAGAATCATTATAGTAACATCTGTTTAAAATCTAGGTATCATCGGCTAGGCTATAACCTAAAGTAATGTGGTTTCATATTTATTTATTTTTCTGACCGTAACAACCAGACAAAGTTAAATGTGAGTGGATACCATTTTGCAACTAATTTGCAATGTTCGCTAACATTAAAGGATGCAAGACATACTTGGCCTATTATTTTTTACGTTGAACTGAATGAAAATAGCTTAACCTATAAGAACAACTTGTGGATTGATGTGAACGCCAGCCGGAATAATGCTCAATGATTGTGAACTAAACCTCTCCGATGACTTTCATTGCAATGGATTTTTATAGAGTTACAAGAAAAGGTAGTAAATGGCTTTAATTGCGAACAGTTACTGATTTTGTGATGCGCTGTCGTGGCATTCGATGATTCCCCGCACGTGCTAAAGTGGGCGGCCCCAGACTGACAGCTGGCATTTGTATTATAACTTTTTTTTTTTTTTTTTTTGCCCCAGACTGACAGCTGGCATCTGTATTATAACTTTTTTTTTTTTTTTTTTAAGATTTACGATGAGTTGTTGCTTGTTTGTTAGATCGTGATCTACTTTGTCTAAAGCAGTGCCAACAGATGTATGGAACTACATAAGTCACACTAATTTAAATGCGGTAGACTTTAATGGACCGTAAAACCAAGGCAGAATACCGTATAACTCCAGACCTGAACAGTAATATTGACAAACGGCTAAACGAATGCAGCGCACCGTAACTTAATTTGAGCGATCTAAAACAAAATTAAAGAGCGGTAACCGATAATGCTGTGTTCTGCCTTGGTTTCTCTGGGGCTTTTCTCCAAGATACTTGTACACATGATAAAGGAGGTCATGTGTCCCAAAATTATCAGTAACTCCTTTTCAACCAAAAATGAATTTATGGCGTTTCGTCTTTGCACGGCAGCACTGCTGTCACTATAGATGGGCGTGGTTTCAGCAACCAGGCACCTCCGCTTCACCCACATCCCACCTTTTGCCCGTTTTCGATTATCTGGGAGTGACACGCTGCCAAGATGGTGGCGGTAGGCTCCGCCCACTTTAGGCTTCAAATGTTCTTCAGGAAACTACGAGTGATGTCACGGACACTACGTCCATGTGTTTTTACAATCTATGGTTTGAATTCATCCCTTAGGACCGTTTTAAACCTAGGATGGCTTTACAACAATAGAGGAATAATACTTGGAATATAATTCACTCTGTAGGTAAAACTTGCCGTTTCTGCTTTGAGTGTTTCGTGCTGTATATTAAAGTGGCATACAGTCATGCACCGACTAAAACTGTCTATCTGTGTCCATACAGTGAAGCCGGGTCACTGTCCCAAACCGAAGAAGATTCAAGCATGTGCTGAAAGCTGTTTTCATGATGGCCAGTGTCCTGCCACACAGAAATGTTGCCCAACCACCTGTGGCCATGCATGCAGTGAACCACATGGTCAGGGAAGAGGTCAAGGAAATGGTTGGGAAAGTGGTCATGGTCAGGGAAGTGGTTGGGGAAGTAGTCAGGGAAGTGGTTGGGGAGGTGGTTGGGGAAGTAGTCAAGGAAGTGGTCAGGAAAGTGGTTGGGCAAGTGGTCATGGTCAGGGAAGTGGCTGGGGAAGTAGTCAGGAAAGTGGTCAGGGAGGTGGCTGGGGAAGTAGTCAAGGTCAAGGAAGTGGTCAGGAAAGTGGTTGGGCAAGTGGTCATGGTCAGGGAAGTGGCTGGGGAAGTGGTCAGGGAAGTGGCTGGGGAAGTAGTCAGGAAAGTGGTCAGGGAGGTGGCTGGGGAAGTAGTCAAGGTCAAGGAAGTGGTCAGG